CTTGAAAATGAGATTTATAGTTCACTTAGAGTTCCTGCGGACTGAGCTCTACAGGAGACAGCTCAGCTAAAGGACAGATTTAGAGACCGTCCTTTTGACCAGAGAAGTGGTTAGAGTACTGAAAACTTGCTGGCTAGAGAAGAGAAATGGATCCAAGATTCAGGACAGAGGCAGAAGAGGAGAGGGTGTGCTAACAAAGGAAAGGAAGTGGTATGTGTAGAAAAGTTTGTTTACCCTTAGAACATGGACATAGAGCTACAAGGCTTTTGTGACTTGTTAGATGATGCTTGGGTTTAACTTTTGCTTTCTGTGCTTCTGTGAGATGTTTTTCTAGTCTTCTGTTATGGGCTTCTATGACTCTGACCAAAACAGCAGGCCAGGAGTTAGATGACTGGTGAGGATCAGGTAAAGCTACTCCTATGGACAGCCCTGGGTGGGTGGTTGGGATTTTAGGCTTCAGCCTTGATCCAGCTGTGGACAGGTATCTGTAATCTGGACAGGTGTCTGTAATCTTGACAAGGGCAATTTTCTACCCAGTGCCTGAGGATGGGGACCAGAGCTCCGAGGCATGATCCTCTGATGTTTCCCTGTATCTTGTATTCTAAGCTCCTAATACAACAGGACTATTCAACCTGTGATTAGCCAGCTGCAGGCCTTTGTTCACATGATCCTGTTTGCCCGAGGACCCACTCTCCAGTGAGTTTCACCTGTCAGACTGCCTATTGTCAGGGAATTACTCAAATTGCACTTCATTGAGTAACAATAACAGACACTGAGTACTGTGAAGTGTCAGAAACTGCTTTGCTGCGGGGAAATAATAGAAAACAAGGTAGACACCACGGGTCTGGTTCCTCTGGTGACTACACAGCCGGGTCAGAGAGATGAGCACCGGAAAGAAAAGCAACAGACAGATGATGTTTTGAGTTTTGGTTTTGCTATGTTTATTGAGACAGACTCATATTCTATAGCCCTGGAACTCATTATTGTAACTGAGCTGCTATGTGCTCAAGACCCTACTGAATCACCTGAGTGTTAGCATTACAACTATGTAATACTATACTCTGTTAGCCTTACAAATCAAATATGTAATACTATACCCAGCTTGGGGGGGATCCCTAGTTGAGAGGTAATTGGCTTTGACCTAAAGAACAGGATGAAAAGATAGAGGGTTGTGGGGAACCCCACATTAAGTATAATGGTCAGGGGAAAAGTAACTAAACCGAGGCTTGAGGATGAGAAGGATGTAACTATCTATGGAAAAAGCCAAAAAGCAGAGAATTTTGGGCAAAAGAAAAGGGTACATAAAAGGCCCTGAAGAAGGAATGAAATTTGATAATTGCAGACTTGTTTGGCTAGAATATGGGAGTCAGTAGTTAGGGGAGTAGCTGGAAGCAGCAGCATGAGATGAAAAACCAGTGGGAACTCGGTCTCACAGGATCTTGTAGATCATGGTAAGGAATGGGCTTTAGTGGATAAAAGGCCACTAAAGGTTATATGGTTAACCAGCTTTTTAAGTGTTGGATTTTATTTGGAGCACAATAAGAAGCTAAGCTTATAATCAAGTGTCCCGTGCCCTTCAAACCTTATCCAGCCAGGTGTGGTGGCACGTGTTTATAATCCCAGCACTCAGAAAGTCCCAGGCCAGCCTGGGTTCCATAATCAGATCCTGTTAAAAAAGTGACAAATCTAGCATTCTGAAGGCTGAGGCAGAAGGACCGCTCAGGCTACCTAGGGAGTTACAGGCCAGCCTGGCTACCAAGTGAGACTCTGTCTCACAAAATAGGATGGGTGAAAGAGAGAGGGATGTGGGGAGAAAAGCTCACAAATTTTCCTATTCTCTTATAAAATGCATTTTCTGCTGGATGTGGTGGCCCACGCCTTTAATCCCACTCACGACTCAGGAGGCAGAGGCAGGTGGATCTCTGTGAATCTGAGGCCAGCCTGTTCTATGTAGCAAGAAGTTTCAGGCCAGACAAGGCTACACTGTGAGACCTTGTCCCTCCTCCCCAAAGCCATTTCCTTGTTAGTAATTCCCATTTAATTGTGAACTTGGATTAGTTTGCTTTCACAAATTCGCTAAAGGCAAGAATTCTGCAGACTTCGAGGTCATATCTGCCTCACAAGGGTGTTGTAATGATAGTCAGCTTGAAGATTAAAAGGCACAGTGCCTGGCACCTGTTCAGTAAAGGCCCTTTGGTCTTATTACCTCTGCAGAACTGGGAAGCACGTCTGCTGCTAGAGAGATCATGTGCTGCCAAGTGTCCGGACATTGCCACACAGCTGGCTGGGACCAAGAAGGTGCAGCAGGAACTGAGCAGGGTGGGCCTGCTGGAAGAGCTGCTCCCAGGACAGCCTGAGGCTGTGGCCCGCCTCCGTGCCACCTTTGCTGGCCTCTATTCATTGGACATGGTATGTAGTGTGTATTTCCTACCATAGCCACATAGCTGAGACCTGGACCTGAGTGTGTTGGGAAGGATGCAGGGCAGCTGGCATTACAGTTGGCATTATGACTCACATCCTGGTGCTCTGAACAACACTTGAGCCTTGAGGCCAGAATCTGGGAGCTTAAATCCATTTCCTCAGCAATGATTGTGATAACGATAGAAACCCAGGGAAGTGACTTAAAGGGCCTGTTCTATGTTTAGTGCTTCAATGGAGTTAACGGTCACATCCAGATTGGAGTGTCTAGCCTAAAGGAATTTACAATTATTTTCCCTGCTGTCCCTCTCCCTGATGCCACTCTGCATGATCAGCAGGACCTCAGCTGCCTCATTAGCTTGAATTCTAGTGACTACTTTCTGCTTCCTATTAGGGTGAAGAAGGGGACCAGGCCATTGCTGAAGCCCTTGCTGCTCCTAACCACTTTGTGCTGAAGCCCCAGAGAGAGGGTGGAGGTAAGTAAATCTCCTTTGTAGAGCTGTCCAGTGAAAGACTCTATTGCCAGTGCTTATTGGCACTTGATGTGGATACAGTCTCAGGCCTAGTGGTTACAAAAGAAAGCAACACAGATCCCAGAATGGAGCATATCTCCCAGCACCCTGGAAGCAAGCCCTGTGGAGTAAAGGGGATTAGATGAACACTGGAGAATTTGGACAACCTTAGTTTGTAAGATCATAGAGAAACAGAATGGGTGCATACTGGAAGGTCTAAGGGAATACCTGGCTGTATTCCTGTGTACTGTGAAACTCCTTGAGGGCAGGGATCATGTTTATCGTACAGACTTGATTTTCTACTTGGGTCTTAAGGGATAGGTAGGAGTTTCCAGGTAAAAAAGGGGTAAGATCATTCCAAACTGAAGACCATTTAAGCAAAAGCAGTGGACCATGGATTGGACTAGAGGTTGATGAGGCTTGAGTTGGAGATGGCAGGAATATGGGCTGGGAATGACTGTTGGGGACCTGATTATAAAGAGCACTGACAATATTTCAGGAAATTTGGGCTTGGGGAAGTAGCTCAGTCAATAAAGTGTTTACTATGCAAGCACTGGATCCCTACCTCCACCTTAAAGACAAGCATGATGGCAGGCATCTCTCCCTCTAGGACTTTGGGGGTGGAGGGCAAAGGAAGACAGATCCTGGAGGCTCACTGGCTAGGCAGTCTAGCTGAAACTGGGCTCCAGGCTTAGTGTCTCAAAAAGTAAGGTTTATATCAATTGAAGAAGATGCCTCAATATCGGTGTCTGCCTCCACATGTATATGCATAGGTGAGTACACAGATAGACACAAATATATGCCATAAACTGTATTTTATCATAACTGAGATAGGAAGCCATTAAAGTTTCAAGTGGGAAGGGACACATGAACTATCCAGGATCCAAGTAGGTTTAGCAATGATGAAAACTTGTAAAGCTTAGTGCTTCAGCCTTTATAAGTTTATTGGAATGAGAGGAAATATTTGTGACAGAGACCATGGAAGAAGGCTGATACCATTGTCAAGAAGAGAGGCACAGGAGAGGCCCATGGAGAGGCTCAGGCTAGCTAGGGCTATGACAATCAAGAGCATAGATGGAGACATTTCTGAGATAGTAACATAGGTAACAGGGAGAGTGAACTTAAATAGGACTCAGGGAAGCCTTCCATTTTATTAGGAGTAGGAAGATTCAGGAGAAGCAAGTTCTAGCAGAAAGAGATTTTCATTTGGATATGCTGAGTTTGCAGTAGAGACCTATGGTACATGCTTCTGATTTCTAGAACAAACAGTGTGAATTAAAGATTTGAGAGTGATGCAGTGTAGATGAAACCTTAGGAACAGAAGTACATAGAGGGCAGAGCAGGGGTAGAGAATTCCTAGAGAACCTTAGCATCTTTGTGTGTGAATATGTGTATTCACATGTGTGTATGTATATTCACATACGTGCATACATGTGGATGCAGGGGTTGATATCTTCCTCTATTGCTCCCCACCTTTTTTTTTAGTAGTCTGTCACTGAACTTGGAACTCACCAACTCGTTAGACTAGTAGCTAGCCAGCAGCTGTGGGAGTCCAGCTCTCTTTACCTTTCACCTTTCACCTTTCACTTCCCCAGCAGAGGGGAGAGGTGCAGATGCATGTGCCCACGCTTGCTTTACATGGGTTCTGGGGATCAGAACTCAGATCTTTGTGCTTGCACAATAAACACTTTACAGACTGAGCCATCTTCCCAGGCCCAGAGAATACCGACATTTAAGAGGAACCATAGATGGGGCAAACCAGGCAGAACAGTGTGGTGACAGGTGTGTTCACGTGTGTAAGAGCTTTCTTGTTAAGATGACCTTTCCTTCTCAGAAGCCAGATGTGTGCTGTGTGATGGCCATTTTAATTGCAGGTAATAACCTGTATGGAGAGGAAATGGTGCAAGCTCTGGAGCAGCTGAAGGACAGCGAGGAGAGGGCCTCCTATATCCTCATGGAGAAGATTGAACCTGAGCCTTTTGGGAATTGCCTGCTACGGCCTGGCAGCCCTGCCCGAGTGGTCCAGTGTATCTCAGAACTGGGTATTTTTGGAGTCTATGTCAGGTAAGCTAGTCAGGAGCAGCTCCTTCTACTACTTCCCTACAAGAGTGCCAGCCAAGAAAGTGTAGAATGAATCTTGAATAGAGCCATGAGTCCTGGACTGCAGTTTCAGCTCTGCTAGTTCCTAGTTTTATAACTGTCTCTTTGTCTGTTAAGTAAGGCCAAGGACCCAAGACTTACCCATTCCACAGAGCTAACAAGTAAATCCTGGAAGAGACATGCTTTATAACTGTAAAGGACATTCCATATTCCACCAAGAGGATTGAGAAATGATGGTTGGACAGAAGGAATAGGAGACTCCAGAGAGTATGAAAGTTTGGGTCCAGCTCTAAAACCAGTGGGAATTCCCATGAAAGGTGAGAGAGAGGAGGGTATTCAGTGGCTTTGAAAGACTGAGGGGCTTCTGAATTTGGATTTGAATACTAAGAATCAAGAAGAAAGCAGGCATGATAGTATACACCTTTTGTCTCAGAACTTAAGAGGCAGAGACATGCAGATATCTATGAGTTAGAGGCCATTGAGTTCCTGAACCACCAAGGCTACATAGCGAGACCCTATTTCAAATAAAGAAAAGACAAAAGAGGAAGGAAGAAAAGAGGACTTTGGAATTGGTAAGGAACAAGGCCCTAATGTAACTTCCTGCAAAGGTCAGGGCAAGGTAAAGACATCACAAATGCTACCATGCCTTCTACCACAACAGCCTTCCCCTTACAACAAATGCCCCTTCTAACCACTTGCAGCATTCTGACTGCTACTCTCCTTACTACTATTCCTTCTGTCATCAGGCACCTTGAGTTATCGGAAGTGTATAGCCCAGGACATAAATGTACACCTGAATCATGCTATATGCTTTTTTCTTGCTTTATTTAATCCATATGATCATCTTGAAATATAAGAGGTATTTCTCAATTTTAAATTAAGGACATTTTTAGGAAGCTTAAGGGCTAATAATTTCCAAGCTAGGATACAACTCCAAATCTGATTCTAAAGTCCTAGCATTTCTTAATGTAGCCACTTCTAATCTGCCAGTCAGCTGGGACCAGAGAAGGGCCTAGTTTCCTAATGTTGTACGTCTCCTGACCCCATTTCTACAGACAGGGAACAACACTTGTGATGAACAAGCATGTGGGGCATCTGCTTCGGACCAAAGCCACTGAACATGCAGATGGAGGTGTGGCCGCAGGAGTGGCAGTCCTGGACAACCCCTACCCTGTATGAGGGCACATCCTGCACTTCACTCAAGAGACCTTCTATCCCCTGTACTTGACATTCCTCTCCTAATTCCTGAGGGCTACCCCTGTCTCCACCTTAGGGGAACTTGTCTTTTCCATAGACCTCCAGGGTCTTCAGGGAAGGGAAAATCCTGGGTACCTTCTCTCAGCCTTCCATCTGAGGACCAGAAGAGTTATGCTTCCATTAGAAGAGTTCTGGAGATCCCCAGATCTTGGAGTGTGGGGAAGGAAGCTGCTTTGAGGTAAAGGCCATAAGCCCTGCAGATCTTATTACCCTCTTGTGAGCCTTTCCAGCAGGTTCTAGTGCCTGACTTGGGGTAGGACTGAGTGATAGGAAGAAGTGGGTAGGAGGGCATAGACTTTCCCCAGCTCTGCCCTAAATAAAGCAACAATGATGATACAACAATTCATTGTTTCATGGATCAAGGGGAGGAGGGCAGCCCATGGGAGGTGGATATGCAAGAAAGGTGACTTGATTGCTCTGGGGGTCTCATGGGTTTCAGACCCTGAAGTCCTAATTCTTAGTCACTTGCTAATGTTTCCAGAGGATTATAGGGTCAAGATAGGGTCCCAAGAAGGAGTACCCCTGATGTGACGTCATAGTTGTGCTGGCTTCCATCGCTCTTGCTTAAGGGCGAAGCTTTGCCTGGTTCTGCCCAAATGAAGGTTTCTGGGGCAGTCTGGGGAATAGCAGTCCTCTTCCCATCTGCTACACACATCAGAGCAGCTAGTGAACACACAGATACTTTAGAAAGCCGACTCTCTTCTTGAGCTCATGAACTTTATTCCTACACCAGTTAGTCTTGAGCACAAAAAGTACAAGGAAAGAAAGTTTCACTCAAGAGTGCCCCTTGTGGGCAGGGTTCTGTTCATAGGGCAGGACTAGGAACGTTAACTCCCTTGGTTCTAGGAACAGAGCATATCTTACTCTTTCAATGAGACAGATGATATGAAAACCCTCTGGAGACTGAACCCACCCACACAGTTTCTAGCAAATGAACAGACAAGTGCTACCATCTGGCAAAGAATTCAGACTCAGAACAGAAGCAATAAAGAATTTTAAAAAATAATCATTCATAGACTCACAAGCTGTCATTTCGAAAGGCTTGGGTTTGACCAAGATAAGAACTGGTGCTCTTTAGAAAGCTGAAAGGGTTAGAGCTACTGCCCTGCTTCTGTCTCGGCCCTCATTTACACTCTGACTAGCTAACTGTGGTTGAGGACATGGTGTTAAGTATCTGTTCTGGGCTTGGAGACCTCTCTGTAGTCCAGGAGCATATCAGTCTGAGGTTGACCTGTGCCCTGTCCCTTCTACCTGGCAGTCTAGGAAACTGTCTCCCTAGTTTCAAACAAAGTGTAAACCAGCATTGGCCCTTGTACTCCGGGGCAGCGTGCAGGGTGGATGGGCAGAAGTTTGGAGAGCCACACACAGGGAAATCCTGGACAAGAATCGTGATCACTGGGTGGTCAGGCAGCGGTGACTGAAGAGATGATTGATGACGGATGGGTCAGCCACTGTAGACGTGTCCCCCAGGTCATGGTCATTCTGAGCAATCTTCCGGAGTACTCGCCTCATGATTTTGCCTGGTAACCCATACACCTCTGATTACTTGGTAACAGTGCTTACTGATCCCGTTCTTTAAAGGACTCCCATCCACACACCTGCCACCACTGGGCTTTAGCCCGTCCCAATCCTTGGAGGACTCCACACTTACCTGAGCGTGTTTTAGGCAAGCCAGGTGCATTCTGGATATAGTCTGGTGTGGCAATGGGACCAATCTTTTCTCTAACTGTAACCAACAAATTATCAAACATATCTTCAGTGCCTTTAGCCAGACTTTCTAAAGCCATGACTTTGTTTCCCCAGCTGATTAAAGTTCTGCCTAGAGTCATTCTGAAGTTTACTGTTCCCTAATCTCTTTTAACATGGTGTCTCTTTACTCCTTTGTTTTATTTTAATACATGTCCATGGAGCTCTTTCTCTAGAATCAGCCTGCTAGAGTTTAAATCAGACCTCTGGCAGCATAGCCTTGAGCAAGCAGTTCTCTGCACCTGAAGTTTCTTCATCTTTAGAACTAGAGTAACAACAGGATCTATTTCGTGAAGGTAATTATAGGAATTAAATGGGATAAAGCATTTAAAGCACTGATCCCAGTGGTGACACAAAGAAGGTTTTCTAAAGCTCTTGGCTATTATTATCCCAGTGTGAAGACTAGTGAAGAAAGACTAAGGGAAGACACCAGTCACCCCACAGGACCCCTGGAGTCTGTAGTTTGCTGCAGCCTCTCCCCAGTAACTTGCAGGCCCTTCAGTTCCTGCCCCAGAAAGCTCCTTACTCTGCTTCTTGAGTTCTTCAGTGAGGGTGGAGCTGAAGGTGTGGCCATCACACAGAGTGACAAAGCAGTAGAGGCATTCGCCCTTCACAGGATGAGGGTGGCCCACCACAGCTGCCTCTGCAACAGCCTCATGTTCTACAAGTGCTGATTCCACCTCTGCTGTACTCAGAAGATGTCCTTGTCAAGAGAAGGGAAATGCATGAGAGGGATCTCAGCTCTTCCTTGCCCCTGTTCTTGCTCCATTGCACCCACAGGGCTGACATAATCTGGTCAAATAGGGAAGGCTTTCGTTCTTCACATGCACACCTCCAAGCATGTCTTGACCATCTTAGAGCCTCTCTTGGAGCATCCTAGTGTGCATTATACATTTCCTCCAAATCCTAGGCCCAGGACTGAATGCCATACTCAACACCACAGTTTCAAAGTAGGATAGTCCTTGCTCTCCCTTTGAAGTTTTTGCTAGGATTTGCAAGGGGGAAAGAACTAATGAAATGGGAGGGGATACAGGACTCTCACCAGATACATTGAGCATGTCATCAATCCTGCCAGTGATCCAGTAATAGCCATCCTGATCCCGCCGGCAGCCTGGGAAGAAATATGCAACCTAGTAAAGACCCTACAGCAGGGTACATGATATAAAAACTGCCACACCTACTACAGTAGCTTATGGTAATCTTTTTTTTTCCCCCGAAGCAGAGTTTCTCTGTGGCTTTGGAGGCTGTCCTGGAACTAGCTCTTTAGACCAGTTATGGTAATCTTTTTTTTTCCCCCGAAGCAGAGTTTCTCTGTGGCTTTGGAGGCTGTCCTGGAACTAGCTCTTTAGACCAGTTATGGTAATCTTTTAACAAATTTTCCTGCTTCCACTTTCATTTGGCTTGGCAACCAGCCTCCAAGATGGCCCTGCTGATCTCCATCTCCTAGTATTTAAAGCCCTACAACCTTCTTTCTCATTATATACCATTCATTAATCTACGTGATCAGCAGAATTTGGCAGAAATGATAGATGTCACTTCTGAGATTAGCTTACTGAAGACATTTTAGGTTCCATCTTGGTCATATTCTCTTAGATCATTTGTAGGTGTATCCAGATGCCATGTGAGTTTCCCTATGGAGAGATCCTGCCTAAATTTGCTGTTTTTCCTGAGAACTAAGGACCCATGCAACCATGTTTCCAGCACCCATGTTAAGTGGCTTACAGTTGCCGAAGGATTACTGCCTAAATCCATGTAAACCAGCATGTAAACAGACCCTCTAGGCTCAGTCAAGCTTTTCAATGACTACAGCCCCCACTAACAGCTTGATTCTAACCCCTGAGACACCCTGACTGAGAACCACCCATCCAAGACACTCCCTGATCCTGATCCTCAAGAAAGTAGGTGAAATGTGTTATTTGAAGCTGCCAACTTTGGGCATAATTTGTTCCATGACAATAAATAATCTACCTAATCTCAAATATATTTTTAGAACATTCAAACTTATTTTCCAGATACTAATTAGCTGCCCCCCCCAATCGTGTGGTGTGTGTGTGTGTGTGTGTGTGTGTGTGTGTGTGTGTGTGTGTGTGTGTGTTTTACTGAGGACTAAGCCTAAGACTTCAGGTACGCTAGGCATACTGAGCTATATCTCCATTCTCCCATCCCCTTTCAGGCAGGGTCTTATGCACCCCAGGCAGGCCTCAAATTCACTATGTATCAAAGTTGGCCCTGAATCCTAATTCTGCTTCTGCCTCCAAAGTGCTAAGATTGCATTGTGCCCAGTTTAATGTGGTGCTGGGAACAGAAACCAGAATTCTGTGCATGCTTAGGCAAGTACTCTACCAACTGAGCCATATCTCAGCTCTTCAACTGTACTTTGAATCAAATCTAGGTTGCTTACCCTGTCAACATGACAGTATTGTCTATTACCTAACCTGTCTTCCAACTTAATAAGACATTCTTCCCTAGGTATTTCACTCCAGCTTCACAGGCTTCAGTCCATTCCTTGTGAATTTCAAGCTTGTATCCACTCTTGGTTTTTTGACACAGGGTTTCTTTGTATAGCTCTGTAGACCAGACTGACCTGGAACTCACAAAGATCCACCTGCCTCTGCCTCCCCAGTGCTGGGATTAAAGGCATGTGCCACCAATGCCTGCCTTGAATCCACTCTTTACAATACTCTTACTGTAGATTTCTTCCTGCTATATCCCCTTTCAACCCTCAGGCCTCTGTTCAAGTATCACTAGGACAAGCCTTCTCTGACCACCCTTGGAGGCACTATCTCATTGTTTTCTTCATAGCACTTATCTCTACCTATGACTAACCTGTAACCAATAAATTTGGTTTATTGTCTGTCCCCTCCTTACTAAAATGTGAGCCCCATAAGATAAGAGAATTTGACAATGTTATTCACAGTAATATACCATGTATTCATTAGATCAGTGCCCGGTCATAGTAGGCACTCAATACTGATGGATGGATGAACTGGTAGACAGACAATGGACAAATAGGCTCCAGACATGAGGCCGAACATATCATAGTAATACCCATTTCTACATGCCCCACCTCTGTCAACACTAGAGTAAAAAATAAGAGCCTGTCATCCCCAGAATCTGATCTCAGATGGCACCATGCTGAGACTCTTCCTGCAGCACTCATTCTTGCACTTTTTAAAAAATTATTCTTTATTATTTACATATATGTATATATATTATTTATGTATGTGTGTGTTTGAGTGTGTCCACTTGTGTGGGGGTGTCTACCAAGGACAGAGAGGACATTGGATCCTATGGAGCTGGAGTTACAGGTGGTTGTAAGCCACCTGTCATGGGTGCTGGAAACCAAACTAAGGTCCTCTAGAGGAGCAGCCAGTACTCCTAACCACTCAACAAGTGTCCTGAGCCCTCATTCCTGCTCTTACAGCCTTACTATAGCTCTCCTGGATACCAGGGACAGACATCAGGGCATATTTCTTTCTCTACTCTTCATCCCTAGTCAACTCTTCTGAAAATGGAAATGAAGGTATGTGTTTTGGAGAGAGGAATGGGGGCAGGATAGCCAAGGCTCACCATCTCCTGTCACATAGTAGCCAGGGAACTTCTTAAAGTACGTGGTCTCAAAACGTGTGTGGTTCCCATAAATTGTGCGCATGATCCCTGGCCAGGGCTGCTTGAACACCTGAGGGGTGCAGAAGGTACAGTGATCACATCCTCTAGGCTATCTCACAGGAAGACAACCATCACATTGCTAAACCTGAAGGAAAATACCCTAAATGCCATCCCTGAGAAGTAGTGCAAAGCATAGGGTTTGGGGATAGATGAGTTTGGCTTGGAATCCCAATTCTATGTTGCTTCTCTGAACTTCAGGGCCCTTATCTGTAAATAAAAGTAAATAAATTCTAAAGTTACTATAAGGGTTAAGTTCATAGTATATGAAAATTGCCTAGTACAGTGTTCTGTGAGTAATAAATATCTGGAAAATTGGGGTTTCTTTTGGGTAATTCCTCAGGAAAACAGGTCCTATTAAAGGCAAACAAGTCATATAAAAATGCAGCCTATATGAGTGAATAAGTAATTTCTAACCAGTAGTACTCTGTGTCAGCAGAATTCTAGATTGAGTAAGAAAGCTTAGATTCAAGTCCTGTCTCTATTCCTCATTTGATCTTGGAAAAATGAAATGAAATGGGACGGGATGGGATCTGACAGCTACTCCACAAAAACTGCACCCACTAACATCTGTGAGCACTGACTGCTCAGCTAGCTCCAGCTAATCCTTGTGTATGGATTATCTAATTCAATAAAACATGGGAGACAATGTACCATTATTTATACATATTATAACCCAATTTTGCAAATGAGAAAATTACATTCAAAGGCACGAGGTAACAATTTGTCTGAGGTCACAGAAGAGGCAGAGATGGACTCTGAATACAGCAGGCTGACTTCAGAACCTGCATGGTTGTTCTTTATGCTACCAAGACTCCTTTCTCTAGAAATGGGTATCCAAGGAAGAGCTGGACTCAGCTTTCCTGACTCCAAAGCATCATCACAAACCTGGGAACATACTCTAGAAAGGCCTTAAAAGCCTATGTACCAAAGAGTAAGGATGCAAGCAAAGTGTTTGGAAGGATTTCCATTGGTGTCTTTCCACAGAGGACAAACTCAACTTTATTTGTCCCTAACAGCTACCAGTGACGATAAGGTGTAAACTCTAAAACAAAGTATTGTTAGCAGACCTCTTTACTTCCCCAAAGATCCCAGATTCTCACCAGATAACCTTCAGCTTCACCTTCCAGCTCTTCCCCAGACTCATTCAGGATTGCAGGTGCTACACCAAAGAATGGGAAAGACTAAAAGCAAATGAGAGGCACAATCCAAGAAGAGGAATGAGGCAACTGTGACTCAGCTTACAAGGAGCCCCAGAGACCCAAGTTCCTCATAGCTCTCAGCCCAGCACCTTACTTTCTAATAGGCCCAAATCCCCAAACTCCATCCCTTGCCAAGCCTAGGACCAGCAGAAGCACTTTACTCACAGCAGAACCAGGTTTCATGGGTGTGGCACCAGGGAGAGGGGTCAGCATATGGCCACCCTATGGAAGTCAGAGATCAGGGGTTTGAGTCCATTTTCCTATATTGTCTCTAAGCCTCCTGAATCACTTACTCACCGTTTCTGTTTGCCAGAAGGTGTCTACAATGGGGCAATGCTGGGAACCTACTACCCGGTGGTACCATAGCCAGGCTTCAGGGTTGATGGGTTCACCTACTGTGCCCAGCACCTGCAAGGATGCCCGGCTATGCCTTGGGCGGGAGAGTGGAAGAGAGGAAAGTTCTGAGTACCACTAGGAGCCAAAATACACATGCATTCAGCATTCCTTTGCCCCCTCCCCTATTCCAGGTCAGGGAGTTGAGACAACAGAAAGAAATTGCACAAAGGACTGCTCAGATCTGAAGGATACCTATGGGATAGCAGATGGGGAGGGGTCTCACTTGGTGACAGGCTCATCTCCAAACTTCATGAGCATCCGAATTGCTGTTGGTGCCGTGTAGAACTTGGTCACCTTGTATTTGTCCACAATGCTCCACAAGCGGCTCTCATCTGGGTATGTGGGGATCCCCTCAAACTGACCCCAATGAAATCTGGTTATTTTTAGCCCTTCCCAGTAGTCCTTCCATCCCCCTACCATCCCCTCAGGACCAGTATTTGCCCCTTTTGACCAGTTATGTCTTTACGATAAACTCTGATTACACAAGCCAAGAAACTTTCTAGTAGGATATACAACCCCTCAGGATTGCTCTTTCTCCAGGAAGTAGGTCCCTGTATAAGTCTCCCTTCTTCAGTCTAAGAAGCGTTGGGAAGAGGTCACCCAGAAGGATCTTGTCCATGTCCCAGGTCCCATCTCACCAAAACACTGGTGGCACCATTGGCCAGTGGCCCATAGGTGACATAGGAATGACCAGTGATCCAGCCAATGTCTGCTGTACACCAGAACACATCCTCCGGGTGGAAATCAAACACATACTTGAAAGTTGTAGCCACATAGAGCATGTAGCCTCCAATTGTGTGTACCACACCCTGTGGGGAGAATGGGTCCTCAGGTTGGGGTTTTGTGTCCATCTCTACTGACCAACAGATGGAGCCTGCACAGAGCTGGAAGAAGAACCTTTTTAAAGATTCTAACCCTGCTGATGCACTTTTGTAGCATTTGTCTCTCTTCCATCTCCTTTATCACACCCTGATGTAACATAAATATACTGACCACTTACATGCTCAGAAATCTGAGTCACATGTATCACTCACATTCCTAGTACTGCATCTAATAGTTTCTGTTGATCATCCCAAGCTTCCTCAGAAACTCACTCCTCACCCTTATACAGTGCACACACTTGCCTTGGGTTTGCCTGTGGAGCCACTGGTATACAAGATGAAGAGTGGGTCCTCAGCATCACACCATTCAGGCTCAAACTCATCCCCTGCTTCTTGCATGAGTTCATGCCACCACAGGTCAACCCCTTCATTCCAGGAGATCTGAAGAGGAAAACAGGAATGGGAAGGGAAGAACTGTAAAAAGTTCAAGATAGAGGCAGGAAATACCCCTACCTGGCACCTGGAGGAGCAAGAGCCCTGCATATAGGGGTACAGGAAAAGAAGGAGGCCCTTCAAAGGCACAATGGAACAAAGAGAACAGGCTTATTACTCTGTCATTCTTGCTCTACCTTTACTCCAGAACTCCCCTTACCTGGCATTACTTTGAGGAATGCTACTATACTTGCTCCTTCAATCTTGCAGTACTCAACTGAAATACCACTTTCTTAGAAAGACTTCCCCTGACCATTGTCTGACAGACTTCCATCTCACCTGTTATCATTATTCACCACAATGCCTGGTTTCTTTCCAATACAACACATATTCCCAGTTACTTTGTTTTCTTGATTATTATATCCCCAACTAGAAAGGGACCTCTAGGAGGCATTGGCATATTCGTATTTTCTCCAATAAAGCCTTAGCACCTAGTAATATATCTGACATTCAAAATACATTTTTGTTGGATAAATGACTACTATGCAAACACAGCCTGAATACACACATAAGTAATATAGGACTGGTGGCACATCAGCAGGGATGTAGACAACCACACACTCAGAAAAACAGAATTAGTTACTGCCTATAGGTGAGCACTTAACTCTGTTAGTTAATAGCAAGAGAACCCAACAGATTTGGGTTCAGGGATTTTTTTTTTTTTCCTGCGTGTTTGGATCCCATCCCATTCTGGAAGTCCTTTCTGGTATCTTTATAGAAGTAGAACCAATAAGGTTTCTCACAGCAGCCCCTACTTCAGGAGACAGGTTCCATTCAGCAGGAAGGCTTGTTTCAAGTTGGTAGAGAATCACCAAGGTGAATTCCTCTCAGGGAAGGGATGTCCTACTATGTTTGGTTGCCTTTAATAATGTCTTCAGGGTCTGCTAGCCTGAAGTTTCTCTCGCCTCTCCTTTGAAACTGTTTTCTTTTTCTTGCTGTCACCTCTTTGAAAACTAGTTTTTCCATTCTAAATTCTGTTAGGTGAAGCTGGATTCTCTAGATGTCTCAAAAATTATGCTGGGGTTCTATCTTCTTGCCATATGACCACGGGAAGTCACTCATTTTTCTTTTTTTCTTGTTTATGTGTATGTGTGTAGATATGAGTGTATGCTTGTGTGCCATGTAAATGCAGGTGCCTGTGGAGGCCAGAGAAGGGTTTTGGTTCCCCTGGAACCACTTGTGAGCCACTTGATGTAAGTGATGGGAGTTCTGTTCCCCTCAAGAGCGGCAAGTGCTCTTAATGCTAAGCCATTTCTCTAGTCCCTTAAGGGGTTTTAAACAAAGAAAGTTCCTTTTGCCATAAAGGTCTGACAGGATTTTATAAATGTCAATAGAGAAAGATGTTATCTAATAACATCAGGCCTTTGTTTCAGGGAGAGAGGAGAAAGGTTAGGGATGAGTTTAATGACCCCTGGGGAAAAGGTTAAGATGGTGAGGAATGTTTGGGGTTTGCTTTGGCTATCTAAAAGCCCTTTCATAGTCAGTAAATTATTTTGTCTTATTTTTGAGACAAGGTTTTATTTAGGCTTGCCTAAATAAACTACAACTCTCCAGTCTAAGCTTCCATATGACAATTATATGCCATTACATCTGCTTCCATTAGGCTCTTGGATGTTCAATGGCCCTGGTTGATTGGTAAATACAGCACTCTTAAATAAATTTCTCTAATACATAGACATATACTAATATATTAAAATGACTCTCTAACTACTCTTGTTTTTCTGTATTACCTGCCCTTTACTTAAGAGAATATGAGCATTATAAAAAATGATCTAAGTGCGGGTGTCATTAAAAATAAGAGGCTAGGTAGGGTGGCATATGCCTTTAATCTCAGCACTCAGGAGGCAGAGGCCTATTGAATTCAATGCCAGCCTGGTCTTCATAGCGAGTTCCAGGTCAGTTGTGACTATAAAGTGAAACCCTGTCTTAGGGGTCAGAGGGAGGAAAACAGACAAGCTGTCCTGGCAAGGAAACATGAAGAACCCTATCTTTTAGTGGAAGATCTACATGATTTTATGTGTACATTGTCACATGGATACTTTTTTCCTGTCAAATTATTACTTGAGCTGAGGGCATTAATGCTTTTAAGTGAAACTATGTCAATATTCTTTATAAATGGTGCTGGTCTGTGGTACGTTGAATTGTTATGGTAAGACACAGTTAAACTGTGGTTTGGCAATGAGAGCATTTTTATAATCTTATAACACTGTTTCCTTTGTATGTGTGATGTGTGTAGGGAGGAGTAGAGTAGGTGTGGTACTGTGGAGCTGATAGTGAGCACCAGGAAGCAGAATGAGCTGTTAGTGAAGCAAACATTGCTTGTGGATTTCATGTGTGTCTATGAGGCCCATGGCCTTGAAAGAAGAAAAGGATTGTGTCTTCTAAAATAAAAACTGAGGAGTTGGCCCTTGTCCTTGGGCCAGAACAGCCTTAGTGATTACTGGGTATTTAAGGGAATATGGAGTATGTTAAGTGGTGTGGTTGAGAAGGACACCTGCGAACAGCACCAGGCCCTGCTTTGAAAACTGCATAGTAAGGCAGGGGTCTGGAGGCCTGCCATGGCTTCTACAGCTTTTACTAGAGTTTTCACACAAACAAACCTGAGCTTTGTGAGACTAATTTAATTTTCTGTGTTTGCTTCTGGCTTGCTTGTTTTTGGTTTTATTTTTTTTATTTTTATTTTTTTTTTTGTACTTCACTTTACTTTCATCTCCAAAAAACAAAAACCCAGGAGTTTGCTGCTTGAGGCTGAATTACAAGAAATGCTATTTCATTCATTCATTCATTCATTATTTATTTATTTATTTATTTACTTATTTATTTATTCTTCCCAGTCTTCCTTCTGGAAATTGCTAGTCTGTCTGATGTTTTAAAGGCAATGACAACACCTAATATATTTTGAGTAGTTAATACATGCCAAATGCCATATATATAGATAAAATACTCTAAGTGCAGTTACTATCGTTACCTCATATAGACAGAAACTGAAGCAAGAAAGCTAAGTTACCTAAGCAGATGGGATAGATAGGATTTGAACCCAAGTAGTCTGGCTCCAGAGCCTACATTCCAAACCACCAAGTTTGTTGTCTTTCAAAAGAAGTTTAATTTAGTTTTTGTTTCCTTCCTTTTTTTGGGTGGGGGGCAGGGTCTCACTATACAGCCCTGGCTGGCCTGGAAATCACTGTGTAGATCAGGCTAGTCTTGAACTCCCAGGGATCTTTGACTCTACCTCCCAGTGTAGGGATAAAAGGTGTGCATTCCCATACCCGGTGCTGACTAAATTTTATAAGTAAAACAGTTTCCCAGAAATCAGGTCTGTGTCCACATACTCATGAGAGTGAGGACTTATATGTACTACTAGCACAAGAGGTCAGCCATGAAGATTCAAAGTAACCTGTGAAGATACTGAAGCCCATAGGAACAGTGACCTTTATATTTTGCTTTAGGGATGGAAACCATTTTTGTTTAATCATATATCATGTCTTTATTGTTGAATTTTTAAAAGTGAAGTATAGAGAGGAGACATGGTTTATTTGAAGTCATGCAACTAAATATTGGCCTCGGACTCCAAGCCCCTGCTCCATACTAACCAGCATTGAGTACCACCTACAGTGTGACTTTTGTTGAATTTAGTACTTAATTATGTCAGTTATGTCTGGTTTATAAATTCCAAGTTGCATAAAGATATATTTAGGAATTTCTTCTCTGTTGTCCCATATAAAACATTTTTTTCTTTTACAATATAGGTCTAACTTCCTAACTTGATGGTAAAATCACAAGATCAGAGTTCGTGCCTCCTCCATATGCTTCCTGTCTTTCCTGGCTCTACTCGCCAGCTAAATGAGCAGCATATGCTTTCTGACAGGTTTCCCAGTTTCCTCTCACACAAAGGATCTATGCAGCAGGAGTGAACTGGGATGTCATTGCAAACTTTGATATCCTTGTTATATATGAGTGGACAGAGGCAGAAACAGACATTTGATTTTGTAACCCTTCTGAGTAATATGGATGTCGGAGCCCAGGAACAAAGGGAACAGACTTAGCTCTGTCAGCAACCTCACTGGAACAAACAGACAGAGAGCAGATGAACATACAGACAAGCACACAGGGAAGCAGTGATCAAGGGCAGTGAAGAAGTGGATACCTGGGGTCGGATGCACTTGGATTTCTCTTTCAGCTTACCCTGTTAAGAGCCCATGGAATGGAAAGGCTGATGAGCAGGGTCCAAAGATAGAGGAGAGAGAGGGAAGGGTGAGTGTTCCCTCAACCCCTAGATGTCTTCTTTCTTCCCAGCCTGCCCTCTCACTAGTGCCCTCAGCCTCTATTTTCCTCACCCTATTATGTACAGAATTTCTAATATTGTTTGGCCTCCCAACCTCCCTAGTCCCATATTATCCTCTCTAGTCCCAACACTACTCAGGATACTTCAAATCAAAGAATCTAAGTAATCCTCTATTGTTTTGGACCCCAGAATTTATATACCTATGCCCCGCCAAACTATAGGCTGTTAATGGCACTTTCCTACTGCTTTCAGCAGAAGTATTGGATCCAAAGCCACAAATGTCGCTCATTCAAGTCTCACTCTAATCAAAATGAGTATGTATAGTCACCCAAGTCAGTACATTTCCAACCCAAACCCAAGCCTGAACTCTAAGGGTCCCCTCTGCCTATTAACCTTCACAGTTTCTCATGCTAAGTTCCTTCTCTACTTATATTCAAGGTCAAAACCTCTTGCTTTCCAGCCAGCTCTATTAAAGGAAGCTTTCCTGGAATTGTTCCCAGATCTCAGTATTACGATGAAGAAGCCAAGGAGAAAAAATAGGAAATCTTTGGGTAGGAAGAGAGAGGGAGTTAGAGCCCAAAAGAGAGCATAGTAGTGTCAGACTCACCTGGACATCTGGACACTGCCTCTTAACTGGGGGAGACTGGCTGGGAGAGTCATTCATGCCCAGCTCTGCCCGCCCCACATGTTTGACCACAATGCAGCATCTTACTGGGAAACCCCTAGAGAAAAGAAAAGGCTGAAGTACTGGTCTGGTTGGCTAAAAGAAGTTGACAAGATGTACCCATGCCCCTCTAGGAGTATATAGCAAGGACAAAGGGAAGCTGGCAGTGGAGAAAGATCCTGTCAACCCAAGTTAGTAGCCATTAGGTCAGCACACTTACTTCTCTCGGCACTTCTCCAAGGACTCATCAGCCAGCTCCTTCAGGTTCACAAGTTTTTCCCCCCTGTAGAAGGCATCTTTGGGGAGCAATAAACATTCCAGGCCTTAGTACACACCATGCTCCCAGTGGGCCTAATGTCCACAGGGCCCTTCCTGAATCAGCTTCTTGACTCTGGTTCTTCCAGATGATTTGGGCTGACAGAGTCAGCTGAAGTAGGATGAGGAGAAGGCAGGCATGCAGCCCCTACCCTCTGCCCCAAGTTGCCCCAAATCAACAAGCAGACTAGAGACCAAACTTGAGGTGTAGGAGGATCTGGAGAAAGGTGAAAGAATTAGTCACCTGTGGTGATGAGAAGGCTGCAACTGGAATCCAAGATCCTTTCACAGAGAGACTCTGCAGAGAAACCTGCGAACTAGGGAAGAAGAAGAAGAAGAAAAAAAAAAACCTGAAGGGAAGGCGAGGGCTAGTGATTGAGTGATAAAAGAAGGGAGGTGCTCATGAAATTCAGCATCTCCAAAACAGGGTTCCAGAAGATACTGAACATCTGATTTGGACCTATATTTATGATACTTCATGATCCAGGTCCAATTTCCTTCTCAAAACCCTATCCCTCACCCTTGGTTCCTGTCACCAGCCCAAGTTCCTACCACAATGGAGTGCAAAGCTCCAAGGCGAGCACATGCCAGCATAGCCACCACAAGTTCCAAGATCATAGGCATGTAGATGGCCACTCGGTCACCCTTCTGAATGCCTATAGGAAAAAAAGACACAGAACAGGAACTATGATGGACCTTTCTTGCTATCCCTTGCTCCCTCCCACTCAGATGGCCCCCGTCCAGCTAACTTTTCTGTTCCTGTCACCAGGTTCCTTCCATTTCTTGTCCTCTTTTTTTTCAGTTCCTCAGAGAGCTCAGGGTTAGGTCCCCGAGTTCCTCTTCCACACTGATACTCACCCTGTTTACGGAGAACATTGCTGAACTGACACACTTGGACCAGAAGTTCACGATATGTGATCTTGGTGGTCTCCCCTGGTTCATTGCCCTCCCTGAGATACATCAGAAAGAATCAGTAATTAGGGACATAGCTCTGTTCTCTCATAAACGAGATAGGAGCAGTCACAAAATTCCATCTGTTCATATCAATGTTGACACTCTCCTGTCAGTGAATCTCATGCTACATCTTTCTAAAAATGTTTTAATTAACTAATTTAAATTTTTATATGTGTATTTTCCCTTAATGTATGTCTGTGTATCACTTGCAAGCCTATTGCACAAGAGGCCAGAAGAAGGTATTGAATCTCCTAAAACTGGAGTTACAGATAGCTATGAGCCACCATGTAGATAAGGAATCGAACCCAGATCCTCTAGAAAAGTAGCCAGTGCACCTAACTGCTGAGCCATCACTCCAGTCCCCTGATACCACATCTTTAGCTGACTAGACAGATACTTTGGCTTCTCAAAGTACTTGTATGCATGTTTTATGAGATTGGAAAGTGTACTGTCTACCTCTGATTCTTATTTTTTATGTTGACAAAATAGAGTGATAAGCCCTTCTCTTTTATCTTAGGGTTGTATTAAGGAGAAATGACGCAACAAAGGTGCCCTATAGTAGTTGTTTCAATTGTTGAGACGGGGTCTCATGCCTGGAACTCACTATGTAGATCAAGGTAGCCTAGAACTCACTGCCTGTCTCTGAATCCAGAATACTGGGATTAAAGGTTTTGTGTCACCAGATCCAGCATTACTTTTATAAAGTGTAAGACTGAATTAAAGCCTAATGTAGTGACCCACTCCTGTAATATCACTACCCAGGAGATGAAGGTAAGAAGTTCTCAAGTTGAACTGTGTCAAGTTCAGGGCCAACCTGGGTTTCATAGTAAGTTCCAGGCCAGCCATGGCTATAGTGAGTCTTTATCTAAAACAAAAACAAAAGCAAACAGCAACAAAAACCATTTTAAAAAATCCAGTCATCTGCAATCTTAGCACGTGGGAGGCAAAGGCAGAAGGATCAAGGATTCAAAGTCATCTCTGGTTACTTAGAATGTTGGAGGATAGTCTAGGCTACATGAGACCTTTCTCAAAAAATACATGAAGAAACATGCATTTGGGTATGGTGATGCATGCCTGTAATCCCAGCACTACGTAGGATAAAGCAGGATCACAAACTTGATGCCAGATTGGGATACTGTAAGAAAAAAATGAACAGGGGAAAGAAATTATATTGTTATTTAGAATAGGGGCTTCACATTGCTCGTGCCCCAGTTACCTAAGGAATTTGTTTGAATATAGATTTCTGGACTTCAACTCAGCTCTGTTGCATCAGAATGCAAAATCTAAGAATAACTTATTTGCTTGTGCATGTACACACACACACACACACACACACACACACACACCATGGCACATATGTGGAGGTCAGAGGACAACTTGTAATAATGAGTCTCTCCTTTCACCATGTGGGTAGAGGGGGTTGAACTCAGTAGATCTGGCCTGGAAGAAAGCACCTTCACCTATTGAGACATTTTGCCAGCTTTAAGAAATGTATGTGTGTGAATGTTTTGCCTGCATCTATGCATGTAAATTATGTGAGTGCCTGGTGGCCTCAGTGGTCAGAAGAGGGCATTGGAAATGGGTTATAGAAGACTTTGAGCTGCCATGTGAGTGCTAAGAGTTGAACCCTGGTTCTGTGGAAGAGCAGCTATTGCTCTTAACCACTGAGCCATGTCACCAGCCTTAGACGCTGCTTTAAACACACACACACACACACACACACACACACACACACACACACACACACACACACACACACACACACACACACACACACACATGTTCTTTGACAATTTGGTACAGGTACAAATATATTCTGACCACACTCACTCCTCCCCATACTAACAGCATCTTACTTCCTTATCAATTCCCTTCCCACTTGCATGTCATTTTATTTTGTTTTGTGACCCACTGAGTTTAACTAGGGTCATCTGCATGAGCATGGATATGAAGTTACCCACTGAAGCATAGCACTATAAATCTGCTTCTTTATTACAGCTGATACAGAGAAACATTAGGTAATTATGACATAAGTTTAAAATTTAAAAATCACTATCTTTGGACTTGAGGATATGGCTTAGTGGTACAACACTGGCCTGGCATATGAGAGTCCCTCGACTATCCAAGCATCTGGAAATATGGGATGAGGGCCTGGGACAGTGGGGAACAAAGATAGTCATTTTTAAAAAAGACAACAAATGAAACCAGGTATGGTGGCACATACCTCTTGTCCCAATACTCAGCAGATGAGGCACGATGTTAAATTCAAGACTAATCTTGGGTTACCTGTAAGTCCTTATGAATACAGTTTGATTATTTTGCTCCTTTTTTAAAAACAAAAGCACAAACCCATTTTTAAATATTTATATCTGTGAGGGGTACAGCATCACATAGATTCTGTGTCCAGTGGCCTTTATAGGACAGTTGCTTTAGAATTTGGCACAAACCATGCCATTGTTTCCATGGGCCAGAGTTACATTTCTACAGATTACTCTGGTTTTATTCAGTTTATCTCCAGGAGTCATGCTATTGTGTTTTTCTTTATACCTAGATAGAATTCAGTTTCTTCTCAAGCATAAATATCTTTGATTTTAAGAAGAGCCATGTGCACTCTTTGGTTCTAGAGACCTTGATTATAGCTAGCAAAAATGGCCTTGCCCAATAGCCTTCCAGACATATCTGCTTTTTAGAAGTCCTGTTTCCATAATATGGGCAGTGGTGGTGTATGCCTTCAATCCCAACACTCGGCAGGCAGAGGCAGATGGATCTCTGAGTTCAAAGAGCCTGGTCTACAGAGCAAGTTCCAGGACAGCTAAGGCTGTTGTACAGAGAAATCCTGTCTTGATTCCCCCCAGCACCCCCCTCCTCCCGACAAAAAGGAGGAGAAAGAGGCTGCGGAGGAAGAAGAAGAAAAAGGAAGAAGAAATCCTGTTTCCAGCAGGCTTCAACATGCACCAAGAAGGCAGAAAGAGCTTTTGTCCTGTTTTTCATCACTGTTTTTTCTTTTCTTTTTAAAAATCCTTACATATTTACTTGTGTGTGGGTAGGTGCACATGCCATGGTGCCCACGTAGAGGTCAAAGTTGGTTCTTGCCTTTCATCTTGTTGAATCAGGATCTACTGTTTCTGCTGTGCCTTGTACTCTAGGCTAGCTGGTTCAGGAGCTTCCAGGTAATTCTCCTGTCTCTGCCTCCTATCTCACTGAAGGAGTTCTGGGATTGCCAATGTCCACTACATCTGGCTTTTTATGAGACCAGGGACTGAACCTGGGTCTTCAGGCTAGCACTGCTAACTCTTTTAGCCACTTATCTATCTCACTGACTCTTTCCTTTTTCCTCCTCCCCTCCCTCCCTCTTCCCTTCATTTGTCTTTTGGTGCAGGGTCTCACTAAGCAGACCAGGCTGGCTTCAATCGTCCAATTCTCCCTGCCTCTGACTCCAAAGTAATGGTAATACAGGTATAAACCTCCACACCTGACTCACATGCTGGTTTTTTGTTTCAATCTTTCTTTTTCTTGGACAGGACAATCCTAAAATGAAATATTTTCAATCATTTTTATTTCACAGAACATGATTGATTTTTATAAACCTTTATTTTCTGATGAATGAACAAAAAGTGTTAATCAGAGATCTCTCTCTACCCCATGTGGGTTCTGGGATCAAGCTCAGGTTATCAAGCTTAGTGACAGGCACTTTTAGATGATAAGCCATCTTGCTAAAAACACTTTAGCCAAAGTGTTTTTTTGTTTTGTTTTTTGTTTTTTTTTTTTTCCCAGAGACAGGGTTTCTCTGTGACTTTGAAGGCTGTCCTGGAACTAGCTCTTGTAGCCCAGGCTGGTCTCGAACTCACAGAGATCCCCCTGCCTCTGCCTCCCGAGTGCTGGGATTAAAGGCATGCACCACCAACGCCCAGCCTAGCCAAAGGTTTTTAAATTACCTTTTCTATAAAAATAAAACACTTTCTAAAATGAATATACTTATTTTTAATTCCAGAGGTAACATCTTTAAAAATAAAACATTTGGGGGGCCTAGGAAGTATTATCAGTTGGTAACATGCTTGCCTAATACGCATCAAGCCATGGGTTCAGTCTCTAGCACTGTATAAAATAGGCATGGTGGCATATGCTTATAATTCTAGTATTCAAGAGGTAGAGGCATAAGCATCAAAAGTCCAAGATCATCATCATCCTTGCCTATATGGTGGGTTTCAGGACAGCCTGGGCTAAATGAGACCTTACCTATGAGTAAATAAATAAAGTTATGAATAAAATAATTTTCCTTTCTTTTTGAGACAGGGTCTCATTATGTAGCCTTAGACCAGGCTGGCATTGAACTCGCATAGATCCACCTGCCTCTGCCTCTCAAGTGCTAGGATTAAAGGCGAGTACATATTTTCAACTCAATAACAACAACAATGAAAATATCACCCACTTCCTATAGCATAATTTCTATCTCTTGACCAGTTTGGCCTGGTTTCTTTTAGTTATTCTTTCTTTGCTTATTCAACAGCTACCATATGCAATATGCTTGTGTAGAACAAGACGCTGATGTACAAGATACCCAACATCACAGAGCTTGTATACTAATGATATTGTAGGTAATATATAAGCAACAATTAAACCAAAATAATTGTAAGTTATAAGCACTATGAATAAATAAAATACAGCGATATAAAACTGAGTGACTGGGAAAAATACCTTTTAAAAATATGCAATTATAGCTGGGTGTGGTGGCATATTCCTGTAATCCTAGAACTCAGAAGGTTGAGGTAAGAGGATTACCAAAAGTTTGAGGTCAGCCTAGACCACACAGTGAGTTCCAGACCAGCCTGGGTTAAAAGAGTGAGATCCTGTTTCAACAATAATAAACATATGCAAAGGAATTACTGTGATTGCATATGAAAATTTACATATAAGGATGTTTTTCTTACTCCCTTCTACTGCTGTTTCATGAGTTTTAATAAGTAATATAGGCGATGCTGCATAAAAAGATTGTATT